CTAATGGGAAATGGCTGTTGGGGCTTATAGGGATTGCGTGTCCGGGGTGCGGCTAACAGGGAGGGTATGTTAGGGGCAGGGCGTTTTGGGGTCTCAGACTAGGGGTTATAGGGGCAGCGTGTCAGGGTGTATGGGTAGGGTGTGTCAGGGGTGGGGCTTATAAGGAGGGTGTGTCAGCTTGGGGCTAATGGGAAAGGGCTGTTGGGGTGGTACTTATGGGAAGGTTAGTCAGGGGAGGAGCTTAGAGGGAAGGGAGGGCATTTCATGGATAAATAAGTTCAAATGAATGTGCTCTGTTGAATACCAGCTGTAGTAAATATGTACTTTTCCACTGGTGGGGGTGTAATGTCAGTCACACAGGTCACTGCTCGGGGAAAGAAACTGCTTTCATGGGTGGTCCTTAAGGACAGAGGCGTGGGGGGGGGCAGTCAGGAATCAAGGTAAGGTTGTGTTTGTTCAGCATCCAACCTTGTCTGTCTCTGCTTCCAGAACATTGAGACTCAGAGAAATCAGTCACAGTCTAGCACCCTGAGGATGATCGATGGCATTTGGATATCATCGGCGTGTCGTTCGAAGCTGGTTACGACAGCAAAGCTCATTAGCCGCTGTCTGTTAACACTGGGAACCACTTTGCAAACCAGCGGCCATGGCGGTAGCTTGTCTCCATCCACTCGCATGACGCTGCTTAAAACCTTCCGTGATCATGGAGCTCTTTGGGTTCCCGAGCATGAAAATATCGCTCGTCTTGAGCCGCGCCGACCGCGTGGCGACTCCGAGCGATGCAGTTCCCCCAGCTCGCAGAGCCCCATTTCGCGGTCACACTGGCCGCGTGCCTGTCGGCTGAACCTGCTCCCAGTCAAAGGAAGCTGTGGAGTCATTACACTTCACTGTCACGGCACTGCCTCCACCTGGGGGCGCTATGCCAATGAGCATGTACACCAGGCCATTATTCCTCCCACACTGTGAGCCGTTGATTTTTCTTCCTGTCCTCATGGAATGCTGGGATAGGAGGTGAGGCAGGAAGCGGGGGTGTGACTGATCTCTGTAAAGCGACCCTTTGTAGAACCCGGCACCACGACTCCCCCTTCCACTGTCTGGGCTTCTCTGGGCAGTGCTAATAGGAGGCTTGGTCACGTGACCCATTAGGGGCGGGCTAAACGCCATTCAAATCTGCCCTTTCAGTGTTCCTGCCACCAAAAATATAGGTCATCTTCTTTGAAAAGCCCTATTCCGCATCACGTACACCCTGATCTAGATAGTATGCAGATTTCTGCTACTCCAGCCTTAATCTGTGCCCAGCCCCCAATTACCCATTACACACACATGTAATAAATATGAGTATTGTTTACCCGCCCACCCCCAACTCCAGGCCCATGCTGCAGGTTAAAAGGCACAACGGCCAGCAGCCTGAACCTTTCGTGAGGGTGGCCTCTGTAAAGGGGTCCCAAGATGGCGGCTGCCGTTGCTGTGGTCCATAAGCCCTGTCAGCCTTTTTTACGCTGTGATGGACGGCACCTGTTGAAACTGGTTCTTAAACCTTTTTGAAAGCCGTATGCTCAGCAGCGGCAGACCGCCGGGGCCTGGACTGACGAGGGGCCGGGGGCTTGCCGAGACGCGCCCCAGCACTGAGCTCGCCTGCAGTGACCAACTAAGGGGGGTGGGGGTTGAAAGTGACCCCCCAGGGTTGGATTTCTTGCTCCTCGGCGTGTGTGTATGTGTGGGAGGGGGACCCCCGCTGCGATCAGGCAGCGGCTGCCTTTGAACGTCGACCCGGGGAGTGGGGGGTGGGGGCGTGGGGAGAGGCCGGCCGCTGCAGTGCCCCCAGGTGACGAGACGGCGGTGGCGGCTTCTGGTGGCTCTCGGCGCCCCGTCAGGTGTCCGTACGCTGGCCGTGGCATTAATCACCGGGAAACGATTAGCCTGTGGTGTGGAGCACATGAGCAGCCGATGAATTTTATTTACCTCCTTTGAGTTATGGCCGCCTTGAGACCAAAGATATCGACGTGGACATTAGGAATGTATTCCGTCTCGAAGGCACAGTGAGTAGAGTTGAGAATTAAAAGTCAAAAAAGATTCATTAGATTTGATCTCGTTATCGCCCATTTTTTTTCCTGCTCATGCTTGTTGATGCCTTTGTGCAAGTGGCCAGATTTCCTGGATGCTGAGAGGAGGTTTAGGGAGGATTTGAGGCAGGTTGGAGGTCGTCTCTTAGGATCCAGTCAGAGGCGACCCTTAGCGTTAGGGTTAACGTTAGCGTTAGCCATGGCTTCAGCCGATCCTTTCGGGTCCCGAGCTCTACCCCTACCGGCATCTACGTGCCGATGACTGTGTATTGTTAAAGCACCAAAACTTGTTCCCCTGGTTTTTAGGTGTCCTGCAATTTTAGGTCTTTGACTTCACTTCAGGCTTTAGCGCTCTCCTGTGAAATAACACCCACGGTATTTCCTCTAAAGGGAAATCTGTAGCTCAGGGCTTCTGAGGACACTTTTGAGTGATTAAACCGATGGGAGGATTGTGTTCCGAAAAGCTCGATGATTAACTCTGGGCCCAGCTTTTCACCTGGCGTCTGGCCCTAGACCATCGTAGCGAGAAGGTCGGTCGTTCATCACATCAAAGCGGAAACCCTGTTTGACAGCAGGCAACGGGCTCAGAAGAAACGACAATGGCGGTCAGATTGCCCAGGATGCATTGGGCTTTTCATAGCAGCCTCCTACAAGCACATGGTGAAACGTTGGTCGGAGCATCGCGCTTTTCATTTGGATTCATATCACCTACTGCACGAGTACGGAGACGGAGGGTGAGGGAGAGAAAGAGAGAGAGAGGGAAAGGAGGAAGGGAAAAAAATAGGGCTGGGGGGAGAGCAGGGAAGAAAACTGATGCCCTTTCCTGCAGCTAAATTAACAGGAATCACGTGGAAAACAATCTGAGGCTGGTATGAGAAGGGGAGCCATTAAAAGGAGCCCCGGGCGATGGACTGCGCCCAATATCAGCAAAGCCGCACTCACTGCAGATGCGGAGGCTGTCTTACAGCAAACTGCGCTCTCCTCTATAGCTACAATTAAAATCAACCCTTCTGCCAAAAAAACTGGGGGGGGGGGCGGCATGTGGAACATCAAAGGCGGATTGAGACGCGCAGTTAGTAATAAGAGTGCTCTCCCAGGCCCCTGGTCCTCCATGGTTCCTTTGTTTAATGAGAAATTTTGACCTCCTGGTTTTGTAAGTTAAACTTGTAATCTCTGTTAATGAAGTAAATCAATCCCGAGTTGGCCTCGTCTCGCCACACAGCCTAATTTTTGATCTGTCCTGCCCCCTGCTTGAGAAATGGGGAGGTGAGGGACAATCCCAGCAGATAGGAGGCCTGGGTGGGGGGTTGTTTGGTTTAGGAGAGGGGACTGACCCCTCCAGCGCTCCCTTAGTACTCATCCGTACTGCAGTGTCAGCAGGCAGTATTTTGAACTTGGCATTTTGACTAGACGCCCCATATATAAATATGAGTACACAGGGAGACAATGATGATGTCACCTGTACCTCTGCTCTGGTCTGGGGAGCGGCGTCAGCAGAGTGGTTCGCTTCTCCGTTTTTGCGTTTGGTGGTGTTGGTTCTGAATCATTGGGGGCGACAGAGCAGCGTCAAGGCTGGTGCGTCTCACCTTAGGAACTGATGGGGAAAATTAAAGGACGCTGGAATCTGAATAGGGAAAAAAAAGGAAAGATGTTGAGCGCTAACAAAACAAACGCACATCTGTGCTTATTTTAAGGGTCCTTTCTTAAGGCTCAAAATGCCTTCCACATTTAAACACGCAATTACATTCAAATTTCACCGAAGGGCCCGATACTGATGGAATTTCTGTGATGGACGAAGATTCCCTTCATCTGATGATGTCACGCTTTACCTGTGTGTTAGTCATGCTTGTCTCATGTGTCACATAGTTAATATTTGTTTTTATTCACTGCGGTGAGATTATTCCTGCATGATGCTCGAGTCCTGTTTGTTTCATATGAATTGTAAGCCTCAACAATGTAATTTGTTCCCCCTGAGAATTAATGAATCAAAGATGTTTAGGAAAAGAGAGATTCTTTCAGACTTGCTGTTGGAATCCTAGGGAGTCATTCGGTTTTTCCATGGAAAATGTAGTGGGGTGGGGGGGGGGCAATTAAAAGTAAAACCTCAGTTGCTTCTCCAATAATAAATCTCATTTAGTCTGTATAATGCGCACGTCACCATGACCTCATTTGACACGTCTGCATTTTTTTTTGTCTTGTTTGTTTGCCTTCCTCTGCAGTTAGTGTGGCCACAGCTGGGTGCGTTCACTGGTTTGTGGGACCCTGTGATACGTGTGTAGTGCAGAAGAGGGCGCTGTGCTTGAAGTGCATGATTACACAGCATCGCCGCATGAATGCCCCCCCGCCCGTCTTGCTGGCATACAAATCGTGTGTCTCTCGCCGCTCCCCACCGCT